ATATGCATACTTGGATTTACAATTTATAAAATAATCAACAATTTGGTTTCCTTGCTCGAAATCAACGGCAATAAATGGTATAGGGACAGCAAAAGTTTGATTGAAGTCTTCGATTCCATTAAGAGGGGGCATAGCATAAATAAAAGCCGAAACTCCTGTATTATTTAGTGCTATCAAATATCCAAAAATATCCGCTTTAGTTTGCGAGAAAAGCATGACAACTTTTCCTTTCACTTCATTGGCAATAGACATGAAGTCTTTAGGACTGCAAATGGAAAATGAAATTGTTAACAAAATTAAATAATCAAAAGGTAAAATGGTAAGGGCTTAGTACTTGTAATCTGTATTATTGTATGATAAAATATACATTTCACTTACTTTGTTATATAGCCGAAAGACCAAAGGAGCAAAGCCACTCCTTCCCTTCCCTTTAATAAGTCCTTGACCCTACAATCACTCAAATTATTTTAAATGTCCATACTAGTAAGTACAAGAAAAAACTAAAAAATTAATAATCAATTTAGGGACCAAAGTTTTAACTGATGAAAATAACAATAACTATTATGGGTCTATCCCAAGCAAGATAGAGTAGGTTATATGAGTTCTTGTTATTCATGATGCAACAAATGAACAAAACTCCTCCCAAGGACGGACAATATCATATAAAAAAATTATTTCGCTAGCATTATAGAAGTTCTCTGCCTATACTTTTTACTAGCATATAAATCTCTAGCACATACACATTCATATACACAAAGACATTATTTGACAAATCTACCTGTATGATTAAAGATTAATCTCACAATTGATGTTGCTTATATAGATACTTTTCTTCTTTTGTGCCCTATTTCACGCTAAGTTTGAATAGATTCCAAAAGTTATAGGTTCGATACAACTTTCTTTCATATTTTAAGCCTATCTCATCCCATTTTAACACTTACACTAAAAATGATAAAAGTTTTAACATAACAGAAAAGCCTTACTAATATTGTCTTGTTGTTGCCAAGTGTTAAAGGAGTAACAATTTGTGTATCGTCGTTGCTAGCAGCAACCGTAATAAGCCATGGAGAAGTATTGACGATTGTGTTTGAGTTAGGTCCATTATTTCCTCCACCAGCAACAACAGATATGCCATGGGATACTGCATGAAAAGATCCTATGCCCAATATACTTTCAGCATGAACTTCAGCTACGGTGGCAGGACCACTACCAAGAGATGCTGATAATATATCAACCCCGTCTCTTATGGCATCATCAATAGCAGAAAGAAAATCAGCACCATTACAAGAATACACACCTTTCGCGTCTCTCCAGAATACCTGTTAAAAACATAATTAATAATATTAAAAAAGTAAACAAAAGTATTTTCTTTTTGTTATTTAAGCTTTTAGCTGAAATGGTCATACGCTTCAAACAATACCTTATAAATAGCTAATCGTGCAAGTGGTGCTCCTCCTTGTATTGTTCCCATGTTAAGATCATAGTATTCAAGATTGTTAACATAAGAACCAGCAGCTGTGTAGGCAACATGTGTACCATGTCCAGTGTTATCTAATGATGATAAATTATATAATTGCCT